TTTTGTTTTTTTTTTTTTTTTTTTTTTTTTCCTTAGTTTTTTTTATTAGAAGATATCCTATAAATTTTATTTTTGCCCCCCTAAGTCAAGTCGTCTGGGTCCGCCCCCGTATACATTTGTAAAGTTCATATATCATTCCTGTAACTAACTTGGCAAGTATCTGCCACAACATCGTCATGGACCGTTCCTTTAATTTTCACTCATGAAAATTATTTCATGTATGAATAAGACACAAAATTGTGATTTTAACACAACGCAGTCTAAGTATATGGATAAGTTCATATATTGTTGGTGTTATTTACCACAATCCATTTTCTCTTCGTAAAATTCCCTTCGAAATATAATAAAAATGTTAATAAATGAAGAAAAAAAATATTTATTTCAACTTATTAGAGATGCGACTTTTGTAAAAGGAAAATGGAGAACATCGCAGAGGATCACTCTCGATTTTCGATCTTCATTGTCCATTTTTTATTTCTTATTCAATGAACCAGATATTTTACTCCACCCAATTATCCAAGAATTTCAGCAGAAGTGGAATAGTATCCGACGCTAATACTTACTTAAATGCCAGGCTATGATGACACGAGTAAGCTTTAAAAATATCGACTAGTCAAAGTTAGAAATAAGTTACTTATTATAAGAATAATCCCTTCTGAAAAAGGCAAGCTGTATTTTTCTTAAAGCATATTTGGCCAAAAGGTTAAGAGCACTTTTCTGGACATAAAGACTACGTTTTCAAATTAATTTTCTTAAAGAAAGTAACTTCTAGAATACTATAATGATTGTGTTATTACCAGATCACCTTACAAGACATACAACATGAATTCATTGATGTATTCTCTATTGGTTGGTTGAGGATTTTAATAAAAATAATTCTATATACACTTTAAATGCCCCCACTATTGTCAAAATATAACACTCTTCACTACTTAGACTAAGTTCAAATCTAAGTAAAACCCAATATGAAATTTAAATTACAAATGTAACAGTTTGACAAATAAGTTACTTATATAAGTTTAATTATACCTTTTAGCCCAAGGAAGAAGAAGAAACATATTTATAATTTTTCTTTCATATTTGTAAGTACGCCCAAACAAGCTCATATAGATTATTAGTCATGGACTCACTGTTCCCCACACATAAGAGCTAACCTAATAGCAAAAACATTAACAGAGATTTGAGTCCTCTTTAATCTATTTTGTAATTTAAAATCTTCAAAATACAATAATTTCAGAAAAGAACAGAAAAACAAGTTATTCCAGCTATCTTAACACGTAAGGTTCCCCCTTCTCGTATTCATTTATCTCTCCATTGTTCCTCTTTCTAGATGCACATACATGCAAATTTATACCAAGTTGGAAGAAGCAAAAAGAATGACAAGTCAAATGTACCTGGACGTGTAAAATCTGAAGTAAAATTTACTTGGTCCATGAGCTCAAGAAATAATCACCAACACTCAAGAACATGTGTTTGTTCAACACGACATCCACAGCAGGTTGATCGTCAATGCACTTGACTATGATCTTACCCTTTCCTTGGTGGAATTCTAACTTCAAATTATGGTGGTCCCTCGACAACAAATAAGATTTTAACCCCTGTGCGAACTTGGTATTGCCTGCATACAACTCCACAATGGCATCCGAGTTGAATACTAGAGCAGGTCTAGCCAGAGTGATAGCAAAAGAGAGATTTGATATCCCATGAAAACTCTCTTCGTCAAGAATCACAGCATGTGAAGGCATCAAAGAAGAGGGAAGTAATGAACACCCAAGAGCATCCCTGATATATAGTTCCTGTGATTCTAAAATTTCTTGAAGTTTTGTTTTGTTTTCATCTAAAGATTTAAAATAGACCTCCACCATGTCGGTAGGCTCAAGCGCGGCTTTCTTACGTAACTTCTGTACTCTATTAACAACCTCGCGAGCAGTTCCAGCCTCAAACAATGACTCATCCCCATGCAAATCCAATATCACCAAGACATCACCATCTCCTGCAGCATCCATTTCATCTTCTGACACATTATCAGGACGTCTGAAACCCCGAATTATCTTAAGATCACTACGCTTCAGAACATGCGTTGCAATAGTAACTTCTCCTGCTTTTTCAAAAGCTAAGATATCTTCTGTGGACATTGCCTTCACCTCCTTTGTGACGATTCCCATTGATTTTCCCAGGCGTTTTCCTAAAACACTAAAATCAGGTTCTGCTCGCAAGGAAGCATACTTCAGTGTATCATTACATGGGACCAAAGATTTCACATTAAGCTCCTCGAGCACATAATCTCTTAGTTTACCAGCAATGTCATCGAGGAACACCGCATCAGGATGCACAATCACCATCTCCTTGAGAGGTGTTTTCAGAGGTTTGTTATGTCGCTCACGAATGTTCCGTGCAAGATCGATGATTGTCATCATCCGAGTGACACTCTGTTCAATACGGTTAACTTCCTTCCCTTCTACATCTGGGAAACTGCAGAAGTGAATGCTCACTTCTGTTCCACTGCCAACTTTCCTTAGGTTCTGATAGAGAACTTCTGTGAAGAATGGTGTGAATGGAGCCATTGCTTTACATGCTGTCAGAAGCACGTGATAAAGAGTCGAAAGAGCAGTTCTGCAATCCTCTTCTCCAGTCCGGCCTTTAAGTCTTTTCCGATTAAATCGCACATATATATTCGTCAAGTTGTCCAGAAATTTGAGGAGATAAGGAACCACTGTGTACAGCCTATAAGCATCCATTTCTTGCCGCACAAAATGAACCAAACTCTGAGTTGCCGAGTTTATCCACTGGTCAAGGACATTTGAGGACTTTTGAAGGATGTTATGATCAATGGGGATAAATGGTGCGAGTCCATCAACCTCAAGTCTTCTAGCATTTTGGACAAGGAACCTATAGGCATTATACCATGGCAAAAAAACATCTTTTACAACACCATATACTCCATCCTTCTTAAAACGTAAAGGTTCTGCACGAACAACGGGCGAATTTATGATGTACAATCGTAATGCATCAGCCCCG